AGGAGGATGGAGACTACCAACGATTTGTACAGTCTGTACTTTGTTTGAAAGCTGATTTTGATCCTCCATATTCTTGACAATTTCGTCAAGGCTGACATTGTTGCCGCAATCCGTGTGCGGATTTCCGAGATTTAGGTACCATCTTTAGACAAGATTACTCCTAAGTATTTAAAATTGGACAATTCATCCAGTGTATTCACATTCATTTGAGTCTGCCACCAATACAGACTGAAGGATCATGGTCGTTCAGGGTTTCTTGAATGATTCTCTCTAGAAATAGGTTGAACAATGTAGGTAAAAGTACGCATCCCTGTTGAAAGCTGACAATTGCCCGGAAGAATCCAAAAAATTAATTTTCTTAGAACTGCGCTGGTGGCATCTTTATATAAGTAACATGTTCTGTTTGACGTGCGTTGAGATTTTTGATAAATCTTTTTATTTGTTCATCTGCAATGTAGTTTGGGGTGTCATTATTAATGAGAGTCTGCTTAATATTTTTAAGTTAAGTTTAGAACTTCTTTTTTGTGGAGGAATTAATTTGTGCTCGGTTAATTAAATTCTGTATAAGTGCTATTTTGTAGTTATTAGAACATTCAATCTTACAGTTGAGAGTACAAGAATTTTTGCTTGTTGGATTTTTATATGGGAAGATAGTAAATATGTTATTATTTGTGTGTATTAAAATGTCCCTGAAAAGGGATTTTGTTATCTTTGTTATGTTCGTATGTGAACCTGAGGACAGAGATTTTTAAAAGTATTTTTGGAGTTCCATCATTATGTTTTTAGCTAAAATAATGATATCTTCTATATATCTTAAGTAGACGGAGAGTTTCTTAGTAGTGCAAAATATATTATTTTCTAGGTTGGCAAAGTAGAAGTTACTGAAGGTTGGGCCTAGAATTGAACCCATAGAAACGCCATTATGTTGCACATATACGTTATTTCTGTGAACATAGAATATGTCTTCATTGATACTTCTTCAAAGGATCCTAAATATATCAATCACTTATATTGTAAACAGATTCGTGATAACTACAAACAGGATGAGAAAATCATAAAAAAAAAACATTCGTACTAATATTTCTCCCATGGATCCTAATAAAATAATAAAGTGAATCATATACACAATACAACACAACCTATTTAATTACTCGCAATAGCTACTCCCCGCCAACTGATATATTACATAAAACCAGCATTATATATCAATTCAAATGTCCCTTGCGTGAATGTCCCTCTAACAGAAAAACAAATATATATGTTGGATATACCACAACTACATTATCAAGACGACTTAAGCTACACGTCTTATCATTCGTTCATTGCGTGACATTTACAGCAACATTCCTGTCCACATTCACAGAAAAATACTGATTGATAGCACAACTATCCTACATCAAGAAATAACAAATTAAAACTACAGATCCTCGAAGCAATCTATATTAAACAATTAAAGCCGAAACCGAATAGAAACAGCTACGTATATTGTAATAATGGTCTAAAATGCCTATAAAAACAAAAGTTTTCACGCTTTAATGCGCGCTTGACCATAACATTCCAACATAAAAGAAGAAAATTCCATAGTGGATAATTATTTCACGTTCTAATGAACACTAAAGCATAACTGTCAGGTGTTGCATTTAAACGTAAAACGAAAAAAAACTATCAGTAATCGATTGCTGTACATACTAGTAGCACTCCTGATAATGGTCTCATAATGAGATGGAAAGTTCTTGGGAAATAAATGAGATTTTGACTGTTACGGTGCACTTCCTGCCTCATCTGTTTGTAATATAAGGAAAAATATCCGTGAATATGAATGGATTATGCTAAAAATAAGCAAACATAATGATTTTAATTTATTTAATCAGACATGCCTAAAAGAGAATATGCTGCCTAAACACGCACATACAGACACACACACTTATATATATATATATATATATATATATATATATATATATATATATATATATGTTTCGTAAAATCGTCGTTTAGACAGACCTGAATATATAGAAGACTAACGTTACTCTTATCTGCCTATTGCTCAATTATGACTCATTTGAACACATTCGGAAACTGACCAAACACATCCGCAATATACTTATAGAAAATGTAAGTGTAATACCCACATCAACACGTAAATAAGCATAAAAATAATGAAAGCACTAATAATAATAAAAAAAAAGACAAAACTCAATGACATTAACTATGTACATGGCCATAACATGCTGACCATGTTTTGGTAAATAAAAACATCCCTATGACTTTAGGCATAAAGTAAAACCCACACATTCAGTCAAAAATAAAAATTAAAAAAAATAATCGTTCTTGAAAATGTCTAAAAGAATAGACAAAAGCGCATAGATATGCAGAATTTGTGTCCCGAAAAGAAAACACTTATACGGAGATATATATATATATGCATGTGTGTGTGTGTGTGTGTGTGTGTGCATTTAGGCAGCAATCCTTCTTTCATGCACATTTCATTGAAAACGAC